AGCAGCCTTTTGGAATCTTCTGTTCAGCTCTTTAGTATCTTGAATTCTTCCTTGTGCTTTGGCTTCTCTACGCTCCAGTGCAATCTTCAGAGTCTCTTCTTACATCCATTTTGGTGCATAGCAATTGAAAATACCAAGGCTTGAATCAAGCGCATCTTAGTCTTTAAATTGACTTCCTAGATCTTTTAGCTGTAGAAGAGTGTTGAATATACCATGGACTGCTAAGAGAACAAACAGGTTTGTCCTGGAGAAGGTGAAGCCGGAATGCTCCTTGGAGTCAAGGATTCTGAAGGTTCGGCTGACATACCTTGGACATGTTGCAAGGAGGGACTGGTCCTTGGAGAGGGACATGTTTGGCAGAGTGGAGGGGCAGTGAAGGAGAGGAAGACCTTCGATGAGATGGATCGATTCTGTGACTGGAGCAGTGGGAATAAATGTGTTTGAGATGGCTAGGTTGGCACAGGATAGAAGAACGTTTAGAGCTCTTGTACATAGGGTCTCTATGAGTTCTAAACAACTCGATGGCACATAACAACAGCAGCTCTTTTAGCACTGTTGAGAGGTCCTTGATAGCAGATTTTTCCGTGTGCAACAGATCTTTTTATTTCTTTATTGCTTTTACAATGAGTATTAATTGTAGATCCAAGTATAATGAAATAGTTGATAATTTTGATCTTTTCTCAGCTGTATTAATTTTACTTATTGGCCCAGTGGGGAAGATTCTGTTTTCTTGGATGTTGAAATGTAAGTCATATTGAAGACTATTCTTTGATCAGTAAGTTCTTCAAGTCTTCTTTACCTTCTGTGAGCAAGGTTGCATTATCTGCATAACGCAGGTTGTTGATAAGTCTTCCTCCAATCTTGATGCTACATTCTTCATATAGCCTAGTTTTTTAATGATTTGCTTGGCATATAAATTGAATAGATATAGAGAAAGAATACAACTTTGATACACACCTTTTTTAAATTTTAAACCATGCAGTGTTCCCTGTTCTGTTCAGACAGCTAGCTACTTCTTGGTCTACATATAGGTTTCACATGATCACAATTAAATGTTTGGGATTAATATTATTCTCAGTGTTAACCATAATTTGTTATGATCCACACAGTCAAATGCCTCTGCATATTCAGTACAACACAAACATCTTTCTAATATTCTGTTTTTATTCAGTATCAGTCTGACATCAGTATCATTCCAGAATTTAGAAATGCGTATTATCAATCCTAATAATGTTGTTAAGTGTCTTAAAGTGCAGTCAGGCTGCTCCTTACAGACAAGAATGGCTAAATTTCGCTTCACATCCTTGGGGATATTGCTAGTAGAGGGTCATCCCTTGTGGGGAAAAAAATCATGCTTGGGAAGGTGGAGGAGGGTCAGTGAAAGCAAGGAGGTCCACCAATAAGACTGACTGACACAGTGACTGCGGCAGTGGGCTCATGTATGTCAGAGATGATGAAGATGGTACAGGATGTTGTTGTTAGGTGCTGTCAAGTCGAGTGGGACTCATAGTGACTCTGTGAACAAACAAAAGGTCTAAACACTACTTTATCTTGTGCCATCCTCACACTTCCTGACACACAAAAGCCCATTGCAGCAGTCACCGCATTAATCCACCTGGCTGAGGGTCTTCCTATCCTTTGCTGACCCTTCATCCTTCCCAACATCATGTCCTTCTCTAAGGAATAGCACCTCCTTAGCAACATGTCTGAAGTATGTGAGGTGAAGCCTCATCATTCTCGCCTCCAAAGAGCACTCTGGCTACACCCTCTTCAAGACATATCTGTTCATTCTCTTGGCCATCCATGGGATGTTCAGTGTTCTTCTCCAGCACTGCAACTCGAAGGCATCACTTCCTTTTCTGTCATCTTTCTTCATTGTCCAGCTCTTGTATGCATAGCTAGTAATCGGAAAGACTGTGGCCTGAATGAGATACACTTTAGTCTCAAACTGACATAATTTTACTCATTAATTTGAAAAGATTTCTACTGAAGATTTTCCCAGTGAGTCTCCTTATTTCCTGACTACTCGTACCAAGTGTACAGGATAGGACAGGGTTTAGTTCCACTGGTCATAGGATCACTAAGAGTCAGTC